AGAAAACGCCCCCCCCGGGCCCGGGGGGAAGGAAAAAAAAGGAAAAAAAAAGGGGGGGGGGGGGGTTTTTTTAAAAAAGAGGGGGAGGGGGGGGGGGGGGGGGGGGGGGGGGGGGGGGGGGGGGGGGGGGGAAAAAAAAAAAAAATTTTTTTGTAAAAAAAAAGAAAAAAAAAAAAAAAACATTTTTTTTTTTTTTTATTTTGTTTTTAATAAGGCCCCCCGGGGGGGGGGTTTTTTTTTTTTTTTTTTTTTTTTTTTTTTTTTTTTTTTTTTTTTTTTTTTTAATGTGGTGTGGTAGGGGGGGGGGGGGGGCCCACCCCCCCCAAAAAACCCCCCCCCCCCCCCCCTTCCCTCCCCCCCCCCCCCCCCCCCCCCCCGGCCCGCCCCTTTGGGGGGGTTTTTTTTTTTTTTTTGTTTTTTCCCCCGGGAATTAACCCCGCCCCCCCCTTTTTTTTTTTTCCCCCGGGGGGGGGGGGCGGCCGGTGGTTGGTGGGGGGGGAACAGGAGGGGGGGGTCCTTTAACCCATGTTGAGGAAAAAAAGAATATTTTTTTTTTTACGGTTCCAGAACCCCCCCCCCCCCCCCCCCCCCCCCCCCAACCCCTAATTTTTTGGGGGAAAAAATTTAAAATTTTGTTTTTTTTTTTTTTTTTTTTGGTTTTGGGGGGGGTGGGGGGGTTCTCAAAAAAAAAAAGGGGGGGGGGGGGGGGGGGGGGGGGCCCCTCTTTTGTCTTAAACCGACACCCGTCGGAACGGACCGCTCCGCGTTCGGGCGCTCCAACGAACACATTGGCGCGCGTTCCAAAGTGGTATCCATTGCGCGCGGCTGGAGCGCGCGCCAATGTTCGCCCTCTTGGAGCGCGTAGTCGATACGCGGCTTTACAGTCACTATTGCTTAACACCGTAGAATGGTCGTAGCACAGCGTAGCATGACCGTATAACGGCGTTACGTGGCGTAGCACATTGATAAATACATTTACAGAAATATCGCAGTAAAGAAACCGGCATGTAGCATTTTTGTAACATAACTCTTTAGTTTGCATTTTAGTTCCCTTTTAATAAAGGATAAATAATAGTAAAAGATTTGGATTCTTTAATTTATACTACACGTTAGGCATTATTCAATATTACCAATTACTAAAAATTATTCAACTATATATTATATAATTAATAGTTATGATAACCTAACTATCGCTGTACAAAAAAGAAATCGAATTGGTATGCATATGTAGTAGTAAATAATTGAAACGATCTAATTGATTTAATTTACAAAACACGCTTAATATTTCTTCCACAACACTTAAATCATATTGCAGGGTCGTTAAGACCAGGGCGAGGCTTTGTGAAGTCATGGTGCAGATAGCCTTAGTATGATAGTGTTTGAAATAATAACTTTCTTACGAAACACTAAACAGCATGAGAGTATTTTTATATCGATTACGACTCGATGCAAAGACCATTTACGAAGCCACGGTATACTTATTTAACTGTTACTAGTATGAGCGAATCAACAAATCAAATAACACTCAAAATAAATGAAATATTTATTAAACGATAGAATTATATCGCGAAAACAAAAGAACGACAAACATTTTGGTATATAATTGTTATGTTAGTATACACGTGTTTTTACAACATAATAAATGAGAGTAAACTCTTTATGATTAGCCAAAGAAAAACTTCAACGGCCCACAGATTCGATCGTAACGTAACATTATGCACCCTGTATATCAATACATTGCATGGCGATGAAAATGCATAAGCTGCATTTTCCGGACGTCGAGGGCGATCAGACGGCATTGTATTGGCGGCGCGGGCCCTGTCCAAATTAGGGATTTAGGTCAAACGTCCGAACGGTCAGTAAATCGTCGATAAAGATATGGTCATAATGAAATATTGGTTGTTATGAAAATCATACAACTAATCTTGAGACTGTTATGAACAAGAAATAAGTGAACAGAAAATATACATGTCTTTAAAATCGTTTTTATACGTTACATTTCCCCGTAAATAAACATACAAGTAGTTATATTAAAAGATTAAAGTAAGATTTTCCTAGAAAATGGTTAGGCTCTTAAGGTATTAATTTAATTTTGGCCCCCAATACTTATACTATACTTACTACTATACTACTATACTCATAGTAGATGGCGTAATTATACAAAACTTTTGACATATAATTAAGTTAAATAGAAAATTTTACAGTCAGGTTGCGTCTGAGGCTCGGTCGGTGGTCTCTGTCAGAATGACCAGCGCTGTGTTACACGTCTGCACCACAGCATAACGCTGAGCCAGGGCCAGTTAAAACCACAACGCCCACACTTTATATGTACCTTATTCCTTTTTTTTCTTTCCATAATTTTTCTTTTTTGACTATTATTAGTATTCATTTGTGTGTTTCGTAAGTAATAAATGTTATGGCTTCCTACATAGGTACATATTAAACTATAAAATACAAAATTATTTATTATGAGTAGTAATATTTAGGTTTGCCAGGAAGGTCCAAGAGTCTGCCGTACACGCGATGTCATTATTCGTACCTCATAATAATTAACAAGTCGTGTGCAACCCAAATATTTAATTACGGTTTGAATATAGTTCAAGGTTTCACCTTCGCCTAATATTCTTAATTTTTGTTACGCGTAATCTTTGATATCGTGCCATTACCTTCGTGACATTATAAGCTGGGTGTACACGTGAGACCTCGATAAAGGGGTTCTAATTGTAACCGATGTGTATCAACCCTTACTTATAACGGGCAGTATAACTTGCGTGAAATGTAAGCGACCTTGGGCAAATTCAGCCCCTCCCGACTATGTATTCAAATCCAAATAGTCGCTCACTACCCACCGTCTCATTCGCATTCCAAGCAATTATGATTTGAGACTTTGTTCCGTTACCATAAAGTTTATATCCGCGCGTGATGCTTGCGTCTTGAAGTCTTTCTGTGATCGAACATGTCGGCTTTGTTTTGTTAGTGCGGTTCTATCAGCTGTTGTGGGCCTAGTAGCTTATGTGGTGTCTTATTACTAAGACGTTTCTTTTATAGTTAAAAAGCTTAGTGAAAGTGAATGTGGCCAGTGTCTTCGAATCTTAAATCGGGATATTAATAGTCAACATAATTCACAGCCTAAATAAACCTTCAATAAACGGTCTATAATTATCAAATACCAAAGTAAATTTCACTAACAGTCACTGAAACTTAACTTACATATTTAAAAATAAATTTAAACAAATGAACGTAAATAATATCCAAACATTCATCAGTCATAAGAGCTGCTCAATGGAAGTCAATTTTATTTATCCAACTTTAAGTGGCTGTTATATTTGAGTGGATTTTTGAGTATTCGGACAAGATATCCAAAATCGCATGTTTCACGTAGCAGCTTATGTGCACTGTATGCAAATTTGTTAATTTGCATTGGACCAACGTCATCTCCGTTTTATGTAAAACCTAATATCACTTATAAAACCTAGTTACTTTTAGAATGAGTAACTTCATATAAATAAGTACTAAACTACATTCTTATTACACCGTAGCACACACACTGCAAATATCTTAAATTCTTTAATAAATAGAGGACATTAAAATACAATTATATCAACACAAATATAAATTCAAAATTAAGGTTCCATTTGCGACTGGATACAGTTAATTCATTAAAAATATATTAATTTCGTTATAAAGGGTGTTTAGGGGCGTATGAATAAATAGCATTTAAAATTGTAGGCATACATAAAATAGCATGGTAGTATTAATACAAATTCACATTTTACCCAAATTATATTAAATATAATATTTATAATCTCTGGCATTGAACAATGTTACCCGTAGCACAACGATCACGTACTATAGATAAATAAATTAATACAAAATATACAAAAATATTTTGGAAATTAAGCAATTCTAAAATTAAATAAATTCGTATCTATCATAAATAATTTATTTTGGGAATGCTTACCGTTCTATGATAGTTGAATTGTTTCTCTCTTGCTAACTATTATTATCTTAAAGTATAAAAACAGAATTATTTCCGAACCAATTCGACTAAGGGTCCTTCAAGAAAAGAGCGTGCCAATTCTTAATAGGTTGGTAATGCACTTGTGAGCCTTCTAGCAATGTGAGTCCATGGGCGGCGGTATTTTTAAAATCAGGTGAGCCTAATGCCCCTTCGGCCCCCTGTTATATAAAAAAAGGGTGATAAAGAAATTCTGTAACAAATTTCACGATTAAAACTTTAAAACTACAAATCATAATTCAACGCACACTATGTCACATCCTTTTTTATATAAAATAGTGCATTCATGAGAGATATAATAATAATGTCGTTACTTGAACTTGAAAAGTATATTGAACGCAAGTAATATTTAAAAAGTTTATACCAAAATGTTTTATTAAGGAAATAAATATTTCGATTAAAAATAACATAGAGTCGCCCTATAATTGTTATTTATGATACACTAAAAATAATGTAAAATTATGCGTTTTTATCCTTAAAAAAACATTTGTTTAAATAAAACTTCTTTAATACATGCCAGTTAAAGAGGATTATTTAAATGTGAACAAGATACTATGAATTGTTAACATTTCAAAATAACAGTGATTCTTCCACTTAGCATGTCACACTGCAAACAAAAACTAACTAATATTCATAACCATAATTAATTGATTGAATTTCATAGTAGTAAACACCACACAAGATTCGAAATAAATAAATAAGGTTTAATTTTAATATAACTTCACGGAATTGAACAATGTAAATAATCTTTTAACGAATTTTAATAAAACCGCTTAGACTAGGTTAAATTTCCATCAAAATTTGTTACACATATGCAGACATTGTCATCACCCTATCGTCCTTATTTATATATTCCGTAACACAGATACTACTGATAGCTAATTCCAAATTCATACATTCAATAGTGAGAGGGTTATTTAACTAGTAAATCCCCGTTACGAAAGTGTGGCGTCCAAGCAGATACCGGTGGTTAGCTATATCGATGCCTGACAGCGAAGACGACTCTGCCTTCACCGTCATATCCTTGCCGGTCTACAATCCTGACCCACCCGTAAGTTTCATACATTTATACCCTAATATAGATCTGAGTACAGCCCTTCCATAATGCTTCCATAGGATTACATCTGATCGCAACTCACGTAATGAATTAGCCGATTAGTTGACGACTGATTAAAATAAATATGGGGCAGTGAAGAGCTTTTTAGCTTGTGGTGAAAATATTAATTAATTAAAAACGCTCAGTATGGTTGTAAAAGTCTGATTGGGTGAAATTAAGACATACTGATAGACTTTTGGTCTATTTTTCTTTAAAACATTGCCTGTCTTTCCAGTACATGTTGTAATAATAACACGGCTCTAAGTACCTATTACTTACTAGATATTTCAATTAATACAAAAAAAATTAAAATAATTAAACTATTTTTGCCTATAACTGTATGGACCCTACGGGTAAAACTCAACTATACTAACATTTAAACGATAAACAAAACAATTAATAAAACAAATACATCAAACATTTACTTTATACATTCTTTCCACTACGTACCATTCAACACATAATTTAACTTAATTCCAATGTTAGCATACAATAAAAATACATAGACAAAGTTTAAATATTAAGCAATCGTAGAAAACACCGCAGTCTACGTCTATGCAGCAATTTCTGACGTGACCTCGAGCGCGACATCATCGCTTTACTACCATTTCTATGAACGAAATAAAAACCACATCGAAAGACCTCTGAAATCCATCCAAACTATATCATAATACGTGTTAGGGTCTGTAGCCACGGTTCATTCGCGCTGGTTGTACGCGTAACGATAAGAAGTGTCCTTGAGCTACGGTCAGTACCTTCGGCCAAGGACTCTTGTTAGAGTCCGTTTTGTTTACCAGCCAGTGGTCGCTCGCCCCTCGTACCTTACACTAGTGCAAAATATCACGAATAAGGATTCGATATTACGCGAAAAGTGCAGAGAATTTGAGAATAACTGACAATCTTACGGTGAGTTTTTCGCCTCGTATTTACTTTGTATTGACACTTTTATTGTATATACACAATATTGTACTTATGTACTTATATGTACTTTTAGTAGACAACATCACCTTTCAAAGATCTGAAGGGTGTGTGTATGTTCAGTATCCAACACAGTAACAGTCTAACACTGTATCTAGATTTTTTTATCACGGATCTATTTGTTATAATCAAATTTTGCTACTTATTTATTTGAATATTAAAATCACATAATAATCTTAAATAACCTTATTTAAAAAATTATGAAACACCTCCAATATTGACCGCTAATAAATTTATCAGAAAATTCGCGTAATTCTAGAAAAAATTAAATAGCCGACACAGTTCGAATACTAAGAAATCGTAAAACACGTTTTAGGTAAGAAACATTCTTTGCGTAACTTTTATGGAATTGGGTCAACGATAAAAACTGGGCTATTCAAAAACATCCAAGCAAATTCTTTTCAAGGTAATAAAATTTTCCATAACGACTACAATCGCCTTTCCCGTGTATCGAACTAATTAGCATAAAGTAACTGGTAAATTACTAATCACGAATACGTGACACTTCCACATT